CCCATCCCCCTCCATCCCCTTTTAACCCCATTTACATCGTGCATTTTGTCGGAAAGCACATTCGCTGGCCATATAACCAAATATTCTCAAAATAAGTCTACTTTCGAAATGGAAAAGAAAAATAAGCGCTGCGATACGGTGAAGCTTTTCATTTAATGTTTAGAAGGGCACGAAAGTTGTAAACTCAAATACCTAAATATAAAAAACAGTAAACGAAAAGAGGTTAAGGTTAAACCACCCAAACTTGGCCCAGTTATCGACCGTGGAAAATAATAGAGTAGAAACGTTTACAGTCGGATGAATTTGGGCGCTCCTGTAGTGGCATGTACGTTTTCTAAAATCGTGGTTTGTTAACGGGCACAACTTTAGGAAGTACTAATGGCTTAAAATTTCGAATTTCTTTCCTCCTGTAATTGATTTACTGATCGACATGCAGAGTTTGCGTCTTTTTTCCTTTTTCGAAAATATGTTCTTCGTTTTACGTAATTATATCCTCGACCTATCAATCCAATTAACAAATCGATCCAATCAAGCCAATTAATCCAATCAACCAATTAACAAAACAGTTCAATCAATTAATCAATCTAGTTAACCAATCAATCTCATCAATACAGTTAAGCAATAAAATTTATCCAATCAACCAATAAATCCACACAACTAATAAATTCGTCTGATCCAATTAATAAACAAAATGAGTGAGGCAAAGAGATCATTATTTTCTATTATTTTTCTTTATTTTCCCCTTCAGTCATACCAGGCTAGAATATGTTGAAAACTCTATGAAGAGGGTCTGAAGATGGTGAAAAGGGTCACGACAGACAAAAAAAACTTCATATTTTTCATTAACGTAACTCAATTATTACAGTAACAACCTTCATAGTCCAGGTCTCAGCCTCCTACTTCTTCAATCGATGTTGCTTCATGTTTACACATACATGTTTGGGAAGCTTTTAATACCTCTAGCTTATAACATGTATACCCTCTCATAAGTAGACTCTCTCTCTCTCTCTCTCTCTCTCTCTCTCTCTCTCTCTCTCTCTCTCTCTCTCTCTCTCTCTCTCTCTCTCTCTCCCAGGTGACCAACTAAACCACGGAGTTGGGATAGGATCACACAATCGGTTAGCCTGCTATCCTAATTCTCATGTCCACGTATATGCAACCAGACTTATTCAAAACAACTCAAGCGGCTTAGGGTTAATCTCTGGCTGAAAAACTTCCCAAGCCTAAGGGTTAGGGTTAATCACCTCCTCACGCTACTGTACTCTCTTTTAACCCTGACCCTTTATCACTCTCCACACCCTCCAGCCATCTTATCCGCCCTTCTCATACCCCTGACTACTTTGCTCTCACTGATTACCGTAATAATTGTCGCCATCATGCTCATTTTTTTCTTGAGTCCCACTTATGGTTTTGCGGCCGTCCATCGCGTCCTCCAGTGCCTCCTCTGTCGCCACCACGTCCTCTATTGTCGCATCCGCCATTCCCGCAGCCCCTTGCAGCCTCCTGTCTTTGGCCTCCTCCACTGGTCACACTGCCTTGTGACACTTGTTGTGTCGTTGACTGCAACAGTCTCATAGGTTGAGTTGGTTGAGTTTGGGTTGTCGGAGGCCTAGGCGGCATCATGCTCATCTATGAGCCCAAATAAGTGCATTGTGCCCATGACACGTATGAATTATACATTCGTTACAAAATCATTTGATTGCATGGCGTCCACTGCCCATATAATGCCTGCTCAGTCGACAAAGACCCCTTTTGTGTTGCTTTATCTCCCAATTCTTGCGGGGTGACCACGGCTTGCCGCAAACATTGCCCCTTTTCAGTACCTTGACCTCTTTGGGTCAGGTTCCTCACTTTCCACTGAGCCTTTGTCAACTTGGAAGGTTCATGCTCCTCCTTTACCTCAATCACCTTTGTACCTTCGTCTCTCACCTGAGCGTTTTGGGATTCTTTTGAGGAGGAGTGACTCTCGGTCACCACCCCTTACCCCTTCATCCTGACCAGCCGACTCACTTGAGGTACCCTCTAAAACCTCCTGTTTGCCCTTCCTGACCTCTTATAGTCTCGTCAACCTTTCTTTCAAGTTCATTATTCTCACTTATCTTTGTATACCACTTAGCTCTCCTTGCGTTGACGCAACCTCGACTAGTTGCACAGGTTTTCCACCACGTTGCCCTTCTATCCTATCGTATGAAAATCTCAATCTCAAAGAGTTTTTCAGCTCGCCCCAGGTTCGCGACTTCAACATAAGAGTACAAACTTCCTCACTCAACTCTTCGCAGACGAACAATGGCAACATACTCCGCATTGTCTTCTCATCCCACATCTTTGTGAGACTGAAGTCATGATAGTCACGCAGGAAGTTAGACAAGTCTTTTCCTTGAAACAGCAAGGCTCATAGGTCTGGGGGCATTGAGTCACGCACATAATCGCGCAACAACACTTTAGTGAGGCACAAACTCCTCCAAAGCAAGATTTTTGCAAAACCACTTTCTCCATCCATGATGTCGATGTCGTCCTGACACGCATGACAAGTACTGGATCATCAGGCTATAGCCTAAGAAGATTAAAAACAAGTCAGGTCAAACAATATTATCAATACTCAATTCACACTAACTTTTTTATCGCTCATAAGACTTCACACTTTAGTTACCCTTATTCTAACTTTCAAAAGTATAATGAGTAATACACACCCTATGCTGACATAAATTTTTAAACAAGCTATAGACTAAACGTAGGGGTTGTTACAACTGCTATTGGTCATCATACTCGCACTCGATAGTAAGATGATCATAGACAAGTTTTGGAAGGACGC